TATATATATATATATATATATGTGTGTGTGTGTATTCAGGTACTTATATATATAACCTTGCATCTCCTTTTCCGTAGATCATGTAAAAGAAATTGTATTACATTTTCTATCTGTGTCCCTTTATGGGAATGAGTGCCTGCTACAGTATTTCGTGTTTAAAATCTATAACATAAAATGTACTTGCTACATAATATATTATTTTGAACATGTTTCACTATAGAACAAAATCTCATACAATAATATACTAAGTAAGCTCAAATTATACAGTGAGATTTACGTAAAATTTCACATGATATATTCTTTTGACCAATTAATGATTCTCTTAAATTCTTGAATTTAGAAACTCTCATACAAAGTACTTTATGACTTCACGTACAATTCTCTTATTAAAAATAAAACTAATAGCTGTGTCATTTGTTTTTTCTTTGTAGTGAACATAATATTACTAAACCTTATTTCTAATATATTTTAAGGTTGCACATCAATATAACAATTAGTTTGATCCTTGTTTATTTTTCTTTATGAAACCTTAATAATAGTACTCCTATGGTGGATGATCAGGGATTGCTAAAAGATGGAAAAGTAGCCATGAAGGAATTCATGACAGAGATTAATGTGTGATCAACATAAAGCGTGGAAGTTTGGTCAAGCTGTATGATTTTTATGTGGGAGCCGGGAGGGAATCATGAAATCAGTCTACAATTATCTTAAAAACAATAATTTTATTTAAATTAAAATTAAAATAGTACTATTTGAAAATATAATTTAAATATAATTTGATTAAGATATTTAAATTAAAATGTGATATATTTTCCATATCTTTAATTTGATCCATGATAATTTATTAATCAATGTATATGAAAGAAACCATGTTTTCACATAAAATACGTATTGAAATTAATTACCATTTATTTTATTCAATATATTTTTATATTCTTATTTCTAAATATTTATTTGATAAATCTTAATATATTATTTCATTTTATATTGAGTGAATTTTTCTATATTTTTAAAATAGACAAAAAAATACAGATATTGTCAAAACAAAATACTAGTTATAGTGGAAATTAAAGTATTCAATAGCATCGTTTTCTTTTCGTTAATAAAGATATATAACTTTTTTCTTGAGACGACTCTATAAAAATAAAATCATACTTCTAAACGCGATTTCATGTCATGACGAAAATCAAACTCGTTCTATAATTACCATGTAGGAATATCATACCACTTAAGAGTTTTTGGTTCAATAACATCATTTGGTGGGGAAGCTGTTGGACGCAGGTGCTAAGGAAGCTCCACGTTGGATCATTTTCATGTGGTAGCCTCGCACTATCAATCATATGGATGTTTAATATATTTTATAATTTTTTAAAAAATTGAATGAAAAAACAATATAATTACATCAAATTTAAAACCAATTAAATTATAAAAAAATTAAACTAAAATTAATAATAAATATATTCTTAACATTTCATGCTAATTATTATTTTAAATTAAAATGTTATATTCTTTTTTACCTTCACTTTAATTGTATTATTCAAGCAACATTATATTTTGTAGTCTTTTTCTATGTGTTCTCTATCATTCTTATATATTTGATGTAATTTTTAATTAATTTGATTAAAAAAGAAACAACATTTTTTAGAAGAAAAAAATTATTCTTCCACGAAAAAAAAATATAATAACCTTTAAATAAATTATTTGATATTTATTTACGTTAATTATATAATTCAAAAATATTTTTTTTTACATTTTTTTTATAATAATAGTGAGACTAAAATATTAAAAAGAAAAATAGCAAGTGAATTGAGAAAAAGGGTGGACGCGGAGTTGTGGTCCACCATTCATAATTTTTTGTAAGCATGTAATCTACACTCTACAGGTCTATGAGCCAATCAGTTTGAGAGTCCCTTATCCAAATAAATACCCATTTGATTGATTTTCGTCGTTCAAATTCCTATCCACAGGTAAGTGGTAAGTGGTAAGTGGTACGTGACCCATTTAACTTAACTCTGCAAATGGCCATGGCCACAGCTGGCGTGTGTCCTCAGAACATCACCGGAGCCATCGTGACCAAGAAGCGAATGAAGAAAGTGGTACACGTAAGAGGCCTTAATTCATTCGGGGGATTAAAGGCTAGCAATGGTGTCGTCTCTTTGGGGCTTCCTTTGAGCACTGAGAAGTGCTTCGCTAAGATTGTGAGCTCAGTAAAAGCAACAACATCAAATGGAAAAGGAAAGGGAGGGGCGCTCTCATCCACGTGCAATGCCGCAGGTGAGATATTCAACATCGCTGCTATCATCAACGGTCTTGTCCTTGTCGGGGTTGCGGTTGGTTTTGTCCTCCTGCGAGTTGAAGCATGGGTCGAGGAGTCTGAAGCAGAGTGACTGGTGATTCAGATAAGCATGTATATTCATGCTGTGGCTCTTCTTGTTTTCGTTAATCATAATGACTTGTATATTTATTTCTCAACTTTCATAATTTTCTTGGTTTCTTCGTAATTGGATTTCTTGTCGATAATCTGTCGGCATGAACTGCTGCCAATCCTAAACTTCTGCTTTCAACCTGGAAGTCACGGCCTCTGGCTGTTCTAATCTATTTCCTGCTAAATATTATGTGTAATACTTGCAAAACCAGTAACTATGAGAAAGATTTATACATCAAATTCATTTTTTTTGAAATTATAGATATCAATTTGAATAATAAAATTACATAAATACCTTTTTCAGTTTTTAAAGTTAGAGAGCATTGATCATTGACTAAAATGAATTTTATAAATTAAAGTACTGTTATTTTTGTATTTTTAATGATTGAATTAATCGCACTCAATTTCTGTGAACCGTCTCCCATCAGGACACAGATTTATTGGAGAGTAATATATAGTGCGAATGGTAATAGAATGAAGAAAACGGTATAAGTCCATAGATATTCTTAAATGGAGCTTTTGAACTTTAAAACTGCGGACATGAGATTTATGTCTTAGGCTTTGTTTCGATTTGAGGATGGAAAAGGAGAGTGGAAAAGGAGGAATTTGAAGGGAAAGTGAGTGGAAAGTGAGGTTGTTTGGATTAAGGGAAAGTGAGTGGAAAGTTTGTGAAAGTTTGTGAGTGAATTGATTGATGTGATAGATAAAAATAAATTTTTTAATTGATGATTTTGTAAGATTACTATTTTGTTCTTAGGTTAAAAAAAGTTTATAATTATTATAATTAAAATATAAATATAAAAATTTTAACTAAAAAAATAAATATAAAATATTAATTTAAAAATAATTTAATTTAAATATTTGCTTTAAATTTAATGATAGATAAAAATTAAAAATTTAATAGATGAATATAAATTTACACTTTTACTCTTGGATTAAAAATGAGTATAATATTATTTATTGTAAATAATAATAATTACAATAAAATTATATTAATAGGTATAATTTATTAAAAAAATAATAAATAATAATAATAAATATTAAAAAAATAATAAGAATCATAATAAATAATAATGATATTAAATATAATAAATAATAATAATATTAATAATAATGATAATAATAATAATATTTATAATAATAAATAATAATAACAAAATATATTATGATAATTATATTTTTTAACATTATTTTATTAATGTTTATAAAAGTGTTATTATTTTAATTTTATAAACATGTATTATTTTTTTTTATATTTCTACTTTTTGAAGTCAATATTTAAATAATAAAATTTTCTTAATATAAAAAAAATGTACAATAAAATTTTTGAAAGTTAATTAATAAATTAAAAAAATTAATAAATCATTGACATAAATTAGAATGAAATGAAGATACATTTGTTAATTGTACAAGTTAATTTTTACCAATTAAAAAATTAAGAAATTTTTAACATTACAAATTTGGAGTTGCATTTTATCCATTTTGGAACGGTCTGTTCCAGTTTTGGAACGGCCCGTTCCAGTTTTGGAACGGCCCGTTCCAGGATACTAAATTACCCTTGTTTTAGTAGTTTGGAACGGGCCGTTTTAATTTTGGAACGACCTGTTCTGGGAACGCCTGGAAGCGAAAATATGGAAGCATAATCGATTATGTATGCATGTATTATGGTGGGTATAATCGATTATGCTGAGGCATAATCGATTATGCCTGTGCATAATCGATTATGCCTGTGCATAATCGATTATGTTAGCATATTTTTGCTTCAATTTTTCACCTCTTTTTAGCTTTCGGACAGGGTATTATCGGGTTTTCTCAAATCTTACGTGATTTTCATCTCGTTTCTTTGCAAAAACGCGAGGATGGCATCTCGGTTTCTCCCCCTTTTCTTCGCCTTTCTTTGCAAATTACCGGAAACAAACACTCACTTTCTTCGCCTTTCATTGCTCGTAAACAGTAAATCACTGGAAACAAACACTACCTTAGAGTAACTATATTGCCACCTTCCACTTCAGTTTCATGCACACACTACTTGGATTTCCGCTCAAAAACACTATTGTCACCAAAAAATAGCCAATCACTTATTTTGATCTCACGTCTCATATTAATGCGGTAAATCATCGTAGGGATGTGTCGAAATTTAGTGAGACCAGTTACAGTAAGATGGTAAAAACCATATCACATACATGTGAAACGATGCGTAGAAATGTGCATGCAGCACTTGTGTTAACAAAACCAGCGAAACATGAAGTATTGACACACTGAGTGAATGTGCGACATGTGTGCAAATGCGTAAGTTAAGGGGACAGCGACTGCACTCGTGAAATTTAACAAACTGTTTTATGATGAATTGAAGCCAGCATTCTAAAGAATGGGGTAAATCATCTAGTTTGCAATGGACAATATGTGGGTAAATAAGAAATCCAACGGATTTTCGAAGAAGAGTGTTTGTAACCTATTATCCCACATTCATGGGGTAAAAGAATCATATCTCTAATTTTCTGATAAAGCAAAAAATTCTAATTAATTGGAGCCAACATTCTACCGCAAGAAACATAAATAAGCGTGTTAAACTAAATCAAACTATTAAGAAACTACAATTGATAAAACATTTATGAAATTTAAATAAACAGCATAGTAGCTGCCAAAAGCAGATGGCCCAGGATCAAAACTAGCCAGAAAACAGTTGAGGATTCCATCATTATGCAATGAGCTTTCTCACACGGAAGGTCTCTGACATGCTGAAAACAGTTGCCAGCTTATGAAAGCCATCACCAAGGATGTGAAGAGCTCAAAACCTACCACTTTGGGAAAGTGCCACCCCAATCCACGCCTAAGATAGCTGCAGAAGACATAGTTTATCAAACACTACACTACAGCAAATGACAATGTTACGGCTGACTAAATAACTACTATCATCTAGCCAATTAACATATCCGATACTCGTACTAACACCATCTGATAGGCATCTTATCCTAATGAACCAATTATACATGGAGACAAGAAAGTAACATATGATTGCAAGAGTCTATGAAAAAGGTGAGCTCAATGAAAGATTTTATACTTGGTCCTCAATTCAAAGACTTGAATTGCATAGGAAAAAAAATTAAATTGAGCACAAAATGATACATTTACATATCATCATAACAGTATTGTAATGAGTCAGGAAAGACCTTGTGATAGATGGCATGGTTGCTACAATCCCTGCACTCAAATATATGATAGGTATGAGGGTCTTGGGTTTATTTTTTCGAAGCCACATCAAAGATCCAAGTGCGGCAAGGGATATGCTCAACACCTGTACAGATACAAGTGTAGAAATCTTTAAAATTACAGATAATGCATATACTACAAACTGCACATGAATTGAGATGTGTTTTCCTATAGCACATACCAACATAGACAAACTGTTTCATCATGCTAGCCAATATCCAAGTAAAAGAAGTTCCAAATTCCAGGAGAATATTACTTAGTGATCAAATGCTTTAGTTTGACCTAAGGACTGTATTACTCTGAATATTAAAGAACATACCAAATTTGCATTAGCCTCAAGGCCCTGAAGAATGTAATCCCAAGTAAATTCTAATCCTCTGGCACCAACCCAAAGAGGAGCCAACCGATGCAGTACAGAGTCAGCAAACGCCCAGCCTGTCACAAGAAAAATGCCACCAAGACCCAGATGGATCAGAGAAGCAAAGCAACACAAGAAACATTGATGGCTGACCCTAGGAAGGAAAATATCACTTCAAGGTACAAATAAATATAAATAAATAAAATGTACAAAATGATATAGCTTGTTACACATACCAAGTCCAACTGCTTGAAACTTATGGTTCTGAGAGATGTTCCGGTGAGTCAACTGGGTCAAGGCAAAATAAAGCCCAGCAACATCTATAAAACCTATTAATGCCTTCAAAAACTCCTGAAGAATGAAGCAATTGTTATCATTCAAGACATTAAACTTAATAACAATTACTCTAAATAAACGTTGAGAATCTAAGTGCTTTGGGTTATAAATTCACAGGCATCCATTGTTATGAGTCTTTTTATTTTGTTGTCTAATAGAAACTACAATTTTCCCAAGAAAATATGAAGATTAGCTCCTTACAACAGAAGATCCCTGTAATTTCACAAAACATAAGCAAAACAACAGAAATGAAAAGAAAAGATGGAAACAGTATAGACACCGCAGACTCTTTGAAAAAGTCTGCTTCCTCCTGCTCAAAGCCCCCCATTCCTTACTCAATGACTACCAGCATTTCCTCTTCTTTCCCTGCTTTAAATCATTATCTCTAACAGAATATATACGTCCCTCATTCCTTTATCCCTTGCTCACATATACAGTAAAAAAAAATACCATGCATGTTCTCTTCTACCTCACCTCTTCAACACAGTGCCTTCAATTTTATTTATCGTCACATAAACTCTTGTAATAGGAGGGTATCTATCATTGACATATACTTCACATGTCTATCTTAGAGGACATTTCATACGCAAAATGGCTATTTTATTCCTGCTATAATCTCTATTATACAGGACTGTGGAGTCCTTAGTTTGGTAGGACAAATGGTTATTTCTTTCTGGGAACGCACAGACAAGAACTCCATTCCCTCTAGGCTGGAAGGTATTAGTGCTTGTTTAATTACCTTGTCTATATTCATTAGTTACAATTGTGATTTGTGTTTCCATTTTATGCCAATTCAATGAAATAAAAAATGGAATGGAATAAAAGTTACAAAACACAATTACAATTCACAATCTTGAGCAAACCAAATACTAGGAAGGGGGAATGCTCATTCCTATCCATTCACACTCCAATTCTAATCTTGATATTGGAAAAATCCATCATAATAAACATGAACTTATCGTAACTAATATACTTATTACTCCACCTCAATGGAGAACACAAACTGGAATGTTCGTGGAAGGAGAGTCAGCAATCAGAAAACAAAGAAATAGAAGACAGAATGCAAACATAATACTGAAAGTTTATTTATTTAATTACTACAGAAACATAGATCCTCTATAAAAATTGACTGTTCTTCTAACAAGTCATGGCCAATTCCCAATGAGATAAAACTTCTCTGTCTTTTGAGTCTACACCTAATAATTTAAGATAAAATTATGAATTGAGCAAAAGTTGTCATAAAAATAATTCTATTAGCTAGGAAACACATAATCGACACAAACATAAGGATATAGCAAATTTTAGGATACGGCACAGCTGTATCTAACACAGCTACTACTAAAAAGTGTCCGTGCTTCTCAGCCCGCTAACCATTTGCAACGGCTTTTAGCTATAGTATAAAAACTTTTGCTATAAATATGGGGTCTTCATTTATAGCTTAAAACTCGAAATGTTATTTAGCATCCCTACATGTACAGTATACACATATCATTGCAAACATACTCATAAGCAATTCAGAGACATACCTGATACGGATCAAAGCTATCACTCTCCGATACCTTGAGAAAAGTTGCAAGACAAATAAGCTGCCAGAGTAACAAAACAAAAGAAAGCAAAATTGAATTAGATTGTTATCTTTCTTTGTGAAACTACACAATCATAGCTGAGATTTCAGTATATTCACCCACCTTCACTAATGCCGTTGCAAGATAAACAACAGCGGCTTTAATAGAGGTGCCGAGTGTATCATACTCAGATCTGCATATTGAAAGTTATTACTTTACCAACACATGAAACCGCAAATGAGACCTAACTTTTTCCATCGCGCAGAAAAAAGGGGGAAATCCCAAAATTGATGACAACCACAAGATGTATGCATAGTTTTCATCAATATATTAAACAGTCCTCACGATAAGCTATTGATTACATCCATACAATAACATTACAACAAGCAATTTCTGGGCTATATTCATAGAAATATAGTTTGGTATAGCACAATTGAAGCAGGCGAAATTTCATGGGCTAATTGGGAAAGCAATTGAATCTGAAAATAGTGGGAAAAAAAAAAAAAAAGCAAAGGGCGAGAGTACAGATCTGGTGTGTGAGTTGTGAATAACTTACAAGGGCGTGGCAGAATAGTAGACGGCGTGGGGGCCGAAGGTGAGAATTGCGCAGTTAAAGAAATGAAAGACAGTCATGTCTGAGATCCAAAGGAGAAGACAACACTCACTTCGACTTCTCCTTCGCCTTCTCTCCCCAATCCACTCCTATTCAGTTACTATTAATTATGACTCTATTATCCTACTTCCCAGCTGCTAATCATAATCTTTGTTTCCCTTTTTTTAAAGTAAAAAATAAAAACCCTATTTAACAGGTCAAGAGATAAAATGTGATTAAAAAAAATAATAAGAGGCTTAAATATTGCTTTTAAAACGAATTTTGATTTTATTTCAATATTACCTAATCTTTTAATAAATAAATATTTAAAATAATTATATAATATTAAGATTAACAATAGTTTCACATTTTAAAGAGATAAAAATCAATAAAATTAAAATTTATTCATTTTATAAAAAAAATGTTTCAAATTTAAAAAAAAATCATAAAGATTAAAATAAAAAATTATTTATTTTATAAAGACTAAAAATATATGTAAACTATTAAATAAAAATTAAAAAAAAATAATAGGTGTTGATTAAGTATATTTAATTTTATATTTATATATAATTCTTTAAACTATTTATTAAGAGTTAATTTTACTAAAATATCTTCATTTATCTTTCTGAGTATATGATGACGTGACTTGTAAAAATAAAATGATAAATTCATCTTTCTAAATTAAATACAAACAATTGTGCAGCAACAGTACTGTTTTTAGGACGCTTGTTTAGCAAAAATATTTTTAGGTGTATTTTTTTTTAGATTTTTTTTTAAAATTTTTAACTTTTTATCTATTTTAATTTAAATTTATCATATTTACTTTTAAATTAATTTTAATATTTTTAAATAAATTGTCAATAATTAAAAATAATCACATGTCATCCTATAAAATATTTATCATAAATTTAAAATATAATTTATTTATTTGAAAATATATATTTATATAAATTTTAAATATAATATAATTTATATATTGAAATATAATATTTATATATAAATTATTAATAAATTTTAGTTATACGTATTTGAATTGGTGTAATTAATGTACTAAAATACTACTTATTTAAAAACATACCCGCCCTTTATATCAATAAAAAAAATTCATTATTAAATCGATTGATTTCTTTGACATAAATAAAAGTGATGATATATATCATTAAATGGAGATAAAAAATACATGTATTTTACTATTAATAAACTAATACTAATAATATTATTAGTATATATATATATATATTAATGTTTTAATATATTATCATATCTTGTTATAAATATTAATATATTATAATATTTTATTATTTTCACAATACTTTTAAATTATATAGTTATAATATAACTTTTATTCATATATATAATAACACATATATAGTGATAGACAAAAAAAGTTATACATATTAGCGTTGATAATATTATTAATAAATTAATTTTAATAATATTTTTAGAATAGTTATAGATAAAGTAATAATTTAATAAATTTAGATTAGTATTGTTAATATATTTTTACAGAAATGTCAAGATATTTGTAAATGTAGGGTTTAGAGATTATGATTTAGGGTATAATGTTTAATGCTCACATTATTTAGAAAATTGTTACGGATTCACTTTTAAGATCGGTTACCATTCTAAAATCTAATTTTAAAATTAATTTTTGCACTAATGGATGAACAAAGATTAATAATTAAATCAGAAGCAATATAATAGTAAAAAGAAAAAAGTAATATAAACAATGTATTTATTGAAATTTAGCTACTTACAAAACCAAAGCAAGGAAGCATAAATGTTTGAATGTTTAGGCTAAGAGGGAATGAGGAAGAAGAAAGGTTAAAGCTTAGGAGAGTTGTGTCTCTTAACTTCAATTTACATGACATTTATAACTAAGAATTTACAAACAAATCTTAAAGTTGATAATGAGGTTGTTAGAGTTTTGAATGACATATAGATCTTTTTAGTGGAGTAAAAACTACTTTCAATATTTTTAATTTACATTCAATTATGTCGTTTATGACAATAGGTTGTGATGCCTAGGGGTTAAGAGACCTTTGAGTCTCCATCTTAACCCAATTATTATTTCATTATATTTTAATATTTTTGGGATCGTTAAATTTATCTTTATTGGAATTACTAATAGTAAGGTGATTTCATCTTTTAGAGACATTAACAATACTCTAGGAGCTAACTGGATTTTCATTACTTTATAATATATTTTGTGTACTCTAGTAATTGTAAATGAATTTTGATTCCATTTATCTTCTAGCATTTTTATGTCTAAAATGATATTATTGAAGTGTTATAGAAACTTTTAATGGTATTGAATAATCTAGGTAACTATTAATAAATACTAGTCCTTGATGTAAATCAGTGTCCAACATTGCTAAAATTTGATTTTCAAGTTTATCGGTCTGTTATCTCTAGTAAAGATTTTATGGCTACTTGGATATATATATATATATACATATATATATATATATATATATATATATATATAGAGAGAGAGAGAGAGCGAGAGAGAGAGGGAGGGGCGAGACACAACT